GCCCTGTCTCTCGTGCCTCCTAGGCCGGGCCGGCGGCCTTCGCGCCCTTGGCGTCCCTTCTCCGAGGGAAGGTCTTGGGGCCTCCCTCGTGCCTTCGTGCCAGTGAGGAAACAGGGGGGGGGCCTTTGGGGGGCAAACCTGGCCGTCCTCGGGAGACCCCCTCCCCCCAGGGCTTCCCTTCCCAACAAGAGCCGCAAAGCATCTCCAAGTCCTTTGACCGGGAATAGGTTCTATTGGGCGCCCATGTGTGCGCGCATGCGTGCTTGCACGTGTGTTCCTTCAGCTCGCAGAAATGTGTAAAATATATTATGTGGCCCCTCTCATGCTGAAAAGTTTGGAGACTCCTGCTTTTCTTTTCTTTTGATTACTAGGATAGTCTTTTTGCATTTCTTCTTGATGAGATCTCTACTTTTAATCTACTTCTTCAGTCAGTTGAATTTAATAATACAAGTCTATCCTTTATATGGACTTTGCATTTACGAGAATTTTTCTTTAAGTTTTATTTTGACAAGATGATTCTTATTGTGTTCTTTTTCAGCTTTACATTAATTTTCAATATCAATTGTCTGTGTCCAGTACCACAACCTCCTCCTTGTGTTTCTTGGTTTCTTTGGCAGAGAGAATGCAGCTTCTCTGTTACTTCCAAATACGAAGTCTGTTTGAATTGCATAACGGCCCTCGATGTCCGTTCCTTGGTTTGTAAATCGCAGATTGTTGGCTTCACAGAATTCTATGAATTACTCTCCTGTTTCGCTTCTGACTCCAAATCCTTTAACTACATTTGGTTCTGCTTTGTTTCCTACTTTTGTGTAGCTGATGTAGTAACTTCCTACCTGGGAATTCTTCCTGCAGCACTGTCTCTTCATTCATTTTGGATAGTCTCATCATAGGAGTTTCAAGGAACAAAGTCTTCAGCAGTGATCTGCCATTCTGCTAGGAATCCAAACCAGTGGTGGAGTCTAGCTGACCAACAGGATTGCTCTAGGCTTCTCTGACATGCCCCATCCCTCTCACTCCACTAAGGAGTGCATCCAAGAAAGGGAATGTAGTAGGCAGGGAAGCTGTAGACGGCCCCCGCCCCAGTGGCCTCCCTGCAGTCATGATCTGGATCCTGCCCCCACCCACCATTTTCATCCTGGAACAGCGATGTCTTGCAGACAGGTGATGGTGTTTTCCAGCTCATCCTGGAGATGTCCGGGGCTGAACTTGGGCACCTGGTTAACACCTCTCGTGCTGCTGTAGTTCGTCTTTGTCCTCCTTACGTTGCTGCCCATCCCATGCCCATTTTCCTGTACTGTTTGGCCAGGTTGTACGATCTCTAGCCCTGGAGCTTCTCTCATCAGCTCCTTTTGTTGCTTGAGATCTGATGGGAAGGGCTGCAGTGTTTGCTTGTCTCCTGTGTTACACCCTCTCCTGGGCTGCTAAAGCAGCAGCAGCAGCAGCAACACAAAGCGTGACTCGAGTGTCCAAATGCTCCACACACTATCTGAGGCGTTCATTCTCAGATGGAGGATTCTTCACTCCTGTCTATGGCTGCCAGCCCTGTGCCCTGGATCTCCCTTTTAATCCCAAATGGATTTTCCACATCTGTAATAAAGGCGGAAGCAGCCACAGCCACGAGAAAATGGGGCAGGTGGGGTGATGACCTGCAGGACACCATTGTCTGAAGCTCCTGCAATATTCGGTAGCTGGGGTGGGGTGATGAAACGAGGAGACTGTGACTGGAAGGACCCTTGTCTCTAGACAGCATCTCTCCTAGACCTATCTCACTTATTCCCACCTACCCTGGGCCTTCGACCATCTTGTATCCTGTGTACACCAGACAAGCTTCCTGCTGATTAGCTGGAACAGCTATCATTAGCTCTTGTGCTTTAATGGGGCCAAGACAGAGTATGCTTCTAAAATGATGCAAGTATTTCCTCTGCTTCCCAGTTGCAATAAAATATATGTTCAAGGGCAAACTTGGCAGATGGTCCAGCTGCTGAGCTCTTGATGAGGAGAAAGATTGGGCTGTGGGGGCATGCTTTCTCTCTGCATTGTTTAGGCGAGAGATGCTGTGCCTGGCCACCAGCCCGTGGCTCTAATGAAGCTGCTTATAATGAGCCTAATCTCATAGCCCTTGCCAGGAAGTTCCCTCCTGCCTTCTAACAAACACACACTCTCTTTCTCTTCCCATCCAGGTGGCCGCTGGATTTGCTCACTCTCTCTCTCTCTCTGTCTGAGGTGGACAAGTGGCCGGAGGAGCTGCAGGTAGACCTCCTTTTGCAGAGTCCCAGGTATTCTCTTGACCTCTCCCTCCCAGCAACCAGAAACCAGCACAGAGGCACCCCTACTAGCCTTGTTGGGAGCAGGGGGTGGGTGGGGAGGTCATATTCCTGCCACCTGTGCGTGCACAGTGCCGGCCAAGAAGGACCCCCCTGTGTTAAATGTCCTTGAGCCTTTGCCCTAAGCCCACCCCCCACCCCCCCAGATGGCTGGGAGAGATTCCTGTCAAACTGGGTGATGATGAACTGGCCAAGAAAGATTCCTTTTGTGTGAGAGAAAGCAAAACTGACTGCTGGCTGCTCTGTATCTTCACACAAAGGATTTCCCACTGTCAGCCAGGGGGCCACATTTGCCACCCATGCCAGCCCTACTGGACCAGGGGGGGAGGGGTCACAGATCATGACCAGGGCCTGTTCGCCCCTCATGGCTGGCTGGCTGGCTGGCTGGTATGAGGAGTTGTCCTCAGTCCTCCGTCGAGCGGGCAGGGCAGACAGAGGGATAGAGGACAGTCTTCTCAGCGCGAAGCTGGCATGGCTGGTGGCCCTCCTTTCTCCTCTGCCTACCCTGCAGCTTTGGAGCCCCTAAAGCAGTGCCAACAAACGTTTTTGGACCTGAGTGCGCAAACTGGGGGGGAGGAACCCAGCAGGGGGAGGGCCATGGCAGCAGTGGAACCGGAAGTGGAGGTGGAAGGGGGAATCCCAGGCACGGAGGTGCGTTGAGTCCTCACTCTGGATCTGCTGCCAGTCCCAGGCACTCCAGATCCTGGCCCGCCACCTGTTGAAGTGCCAGCGCCGTGGTCTCCTGAGGTTTGGCTGCGGGGAGGGGGGGGGAGTAGCGATCTGGTGACTTACAGCTCGCATGCCCTTAGAAAGGGCTCTGCATGCCAGCTGTGGCACATGTGCCATAGGTTCACCATCGCTGCCCTAAAGGGTGGCCGTTGCAAAGGGTGTGGATGAAGACAATGGTGCTGTCAGGCTTGATCTGCAAGAAACGAAGGTGTGATCCTGGGATTCCATGTCTGAAAGACATGGAATCCCAGGATGGTGCCTGAGATAGTGCTGGTCAGCGTTTTCCAAGGCCACAGCTCTGTATCTTGGGCATGGCAAATTCTGGGTGCTTTCTCTTTCCTGCTTGCACCGACACATGGAATAAATCTCAGGCAAGCTTGCTGCCAAAGGGCCGCTACAGCATGGCCTGTAGGGCAGGTCTTGTAATGTAGAGGATTTGGCCTCTTGTGGCTTCAGGGCAGGATGGCCCTGGGTCTCCTCCTGTTCCAGAGGCAGCATAAATCTCCATACCAGCTGGGGAGGAATACTGGGGGTGGGTGGGTTTGCTGCTGCTCCTCCTCCTGCTGCTGCTGCTGCTGCCCATCTTATGGCCTGCTTGCAGGCTCCCCGTGGGTGTGGGTGTGGGAGATGGGGATGGGGAGAAGCTGCCTCTGGTTGGCCCCCACTAGAGGGAGAAACCCAATGTGACCCAGAGCATCCCCTCCATGGGGCATTGTGGTAAATGTGGTCCTTAAAAACCTGGCAAAGGTTTGCTCACACTAGAAACGAATCATTCCAACCGGAATCATTTCATCCCTAAAGCCACAGGCTTTTAAGCCTGCATAAGCTAAACAGGGCCTGTTGAGGAAGAGGACATTCTGGAGGTCGCTTGTTCTTCAGGTTGCCATCAATCAGAAGCCACTTGATGGCACAGAACTGCCCAGAGTAGACCTTTGGTCTAGAAGGGGGGGGGATAGAAATCCAATAAACAAACAAACAAACAAACAGTCAAACAAACAGAACAACGACTAGTCTCCCAGTTTATATACCTGGACCAGTTATAACTGAATTGAGTTCCTCCGAAATTGCAGTTGGACCAATTGGTTGTTAATATTTCGCAGCATTTAGCAGCATCTTCCGTGAAGGGCCTATGTCAGATACATTTCAACTACAAGACCCATTCCTTCTGGCTGTGAACAAAAGAATTATATTTTCACCCCCCACTACCACCATCACAGGTCAGAGGACAGTGGGTGGTGAAAAGAAGGCGCCTTCACCCTCTCTCTCTCTCTCTCTCATCCTAGCCAACTGCATCCTCTGTTTTGCCAGGCACGCAATGAGCTCCCGAAGATGGGGAGAGGCTGGTGCTGCCTCCAGCAAAGCCCCACAAGCTGCGGTGGCGATTAATTCCCCACAACCTCCACGGATCCTGGTGGTAGACATCCACCCCCCGCATTGGGCCCACACCTGCCCCAAGCTCTGTGAGGCCCTGGAGAACGTCTTCTCCTTGGCCTGCAGCTTGGCAGGGCCTCCCCGCATCCCGCTGTTCAGCCTCTACGTAACCCAGAGCCAACAGGAGTGCCTCCTGCCCTTCCTGGTGAGTGCTCACCCGGCCAGGTTGTGTCTGTGTGCTGCATGCGTTGGAAAAAGGTGTGTGGTGAGTGCCTCGTCTTGTTAAAGCCCAGTGGTTCCTGTCAACACCCCATCAGGTCGTGCTCTCTCTCTCTCTCTCTCTCTCTCTCTCTCTCTGGGAGGGAGGGAGGAGGGAGGGAAAAAGCTGGCAGGAGAACTGGCTGGGGACCCCTTGCTCCTGCCTCGGGGGGTCTTCCTCACTGCTGTTGCCCCCTGAGAGGACTGGACACCCACTGGACGCCCCTCCTTCCTTTGCAGCCGGTTCGAGGAGGCTTTGCTCGGCTGCAGAGTTGCATTGCGGAGCTGCAGGCCTTGCCGACGGAAGGGATGTTCTGGCAGCCCAAGGAGAACACCGTGGCCCAGGCAGTGCAGGATGGGCTCCAGCAGTTTAAGCAGTATACTGGGTGTGGAATGGCTGGGGCCTCCCTGAGCAACAATGCCACTGAGGTAAGAGAGTGAGAGAGAATGTGAGCGAGCGTCCTCCGCTGCAGCGTGGCTCTCTAAGGCTGCCCTTGCCTCTTACCACATTCTTCTTCGTGGCCTCTGTGAATCAGAGAATCATAGAAAAGAGAAGTTGGAAGGGGCCTACAAGGCCATCCAGTCCAACCCAAGCACAAGGCAGGAATACACTCAAAGCATATCTGCCAGGTTATTATCTTTCTTGAATGCCTCCAGTGAGGCATGCGCTCTGGGTGATCCGTGCATGCGTGGAGTCTCGTTGGAATATTCTAGAGCTTCTGCAATCAGAAAAGATATATTGGTGCAAGTCCCTCGCCCCTAGTATATGTACCTTGGTGCCAAGGTCCTCCCTTCAATTTCTATTCAACCGTGGCATTGAGAGCCTCGATCATAGCTTATGTGTGTTTTTTTTCTCTGGAAAAGAAAAAGAGAGATAAAAGAAACGAAAACCCTTTGTTATTATTTTTTAACCCAAAACTATTTGCTTCAGCCTTCAGGCCAAAGTTTCCCCCTTCTGATCTTCGGTTCATGGCCTCTTCAGGCCCGTTTAAACGTTGCATGGTCTGTAATAATAAGACCTCTGTTTCCGACGGCCACACTAAGTGCCTTTTTTTGTCTTGGAGAGGCTCATCAAACCTCTTCCTGCCCCAATGATAAAAACTTCAGGCCTGGGGTGCTACGCAGTCACTTTTCCAGGCTTAAACTTCAACTTTGGGAACAATGTCTCCAGCCGGGCAAGCCTATGGCATAACCAGCGTGCAAGTCCATGCCTCACACCAGAGCCATGGACAAGGCTGTTACGGAAGTGGGAAAACAACATCCATTGGCCACCCCCTCCCATTCCGAAGAACAAGGAGCCCCTTCAACATCGACTTCAGCCTTATCTCCTGCCGCTGGGCCTCACGAGACTAAACATTTTACATCAACTGCCTCAACATGGAAACCTCCAGTCGCCAAACAGAAGGCATCGACTGACCAGCTTTTAGTAGCTGAACCTCGCCCTCTGAAAAAGGCCGAGTCCTCAAAGTCGAAGCCCTCCAAGGCTATTTCCACACTGACTTTGCAGCCACATCCTGAGTCTGAAGGCCTTGTCTGCATCAGATCCCTCTCCGATGACAAGGCCCCTCCAGCCCATCAGCCGTCGCCTCATCCCTCCCAGTCCCCTGATTGGAATCAGCGCATCGAATGACTGGCTACTTCTCCACCAATCAGTGCTCCACAGCTCTCCAGATCCCCTAGTAGGTCCTCTGAGGCTGTTTCACCTGTCCATGATTCTGTTGCACAACTCAGCCTCCAGCACACAAACATAGGCACCAACCTTACCAAAACACCCGTTTGCATTTGCCTTCTTTCACGGACACTACTTACTGCTGGCACCATCACTGGGAAGCTTTTTGCCCCAATCAGTGTCCTGCAGAGATGCCTGCTAAGTACTATCAGCTGGCAACCTTTCCTGGCACGTCAGTGGCATCCGAGCATTTTGTTCCCACAGTGGAACCTTTGGCATCGAAGTGGTCACACCTCCAGCGTTGCCTGGACTTAACGGACGCCTCATATCCACCAGTGCCAAAAAAAGCCTCAGCGATCCAATAAATATTCCTTGGCCTCAGCCACTTTCCTGATGTCGACAAGCCATTATTGTCCTTTGTAGCCAGACGACATTCACCATTCATCCTGCTCGGTATCACCAGTGTGCGTCTCAGGTAGGCATCCTTCAGTCTCGAAAGACTATGGTAGCGTGCTCTGTATGGAGGACTTGGAACAGCGTCTAGTGTGGCTGAGGAGGCCAATTCAAGAGTTACAATCTCTTCCACACTGAAGACATCCAATCTGTCCCCTGTCCAGCTCCCTGGTTTTGCTTCCTTTGTGACTTCCTCTTTGCCTCGGCCTGCTGGACAAGGGTCTCTTCAAATTGGGAGAGGCCGTGATGCACCGCCTGCCTCCAGGCTGAACGATCAGATGTCAGAGTTTCCCATCTGTTGAGGTCTATTCCTAAGGCCTTCATATCCCGCTTGCAGATGTCCTTGTAACGCAGCTGTGGTCTCCCTCTGGGGCGATTTCCCTGCACTAATTCTCCATATAGGAGATCCTTTGGAATCCGACCATCAGCCATTCTCACAACGTGCCCAAGCCAGCGTAGACGTCGCTGTTTAGTGTGCGTCTACTCTACAGTAATCCAATGCGGTCCATCGGAGCCCTTGGCAACTCGGCAGCCCCGTTGATATCATTACCAGGCTCCACAAGCTCCCTATTGAGCCCGCTTCTATCCTGACCTCGTCGATGTTGATCCTCGATATGGACCTCTTACCGTGGAGGTGCCTTCTACGTCGACAACTCAACATCAACAGCCCTCCCATTCCCAATATCAGGGAGAGCAGCTTTTCGACACCAATGTCAATCGACAGTCGATCAACTCGCTTCATAGTGCCGATCCTTCTGACCAAGGGTTGTGACCTCAAACACCATTGGCGCTCTTTGCATCACTGGATTCAGACTTTGCAGATCCGGACCCATTGTCTCCGGCTGAGGATTTTATCAGACTTATGCCCTGTTAATGGTTTGTATGGCTAAGTCTTTCGAGCTCCAGATTCATAGACCCACTGCTGAACCATCGGACCATCTTTACGATCCGATGTCTAAGGACACTAGCACAGCAGTCCACATCTCTATGCTTCTCTCTCTTCTTAGCACAGCTAAACTTTCTTGGACTAAGCCAGCCTCATCCCATGCTACTGTATCTCCCAGCGTATTGACAACCACTCTCCATAACAGAGTGAGGGTACCTCATAGAATTCCACAAGCTTCCTCCACTATCCTCCACTGTCACACCTCCGTTGCTAACTCTACAAAATAAAATACAATCCTTATTACTCAAAGATGCCATAGAACCTGTACCGCTGCTCTGTATAGTCTCGGGTTTTTTCTCTTGTTATTTCATTATTCCCCAAAAGGACGGTGGCCACTGCCCAGTTCTCAACCTCAGAGGTGTAAATCAGTACATTACCACCACCAAATTTCGCATGGTTACTCTTGAGTCACCAAATTCATGGCCCCCATAGCAGCACACCTCAGGCTGCGGGGCATTCAAACCTTTGCATACATTAACAACTGGCTTCTCCTAGCTCATTCTTGCTGCAAAGCACAGCACGACATCCATTTCACTCTAACCCTCCTTCAAGATTTCAGCCTCGCAGTATACATGCAAAGTCTACCCTACTATCTACCAGATGTTTTCATTACATCGGAGCCTACCTGGACTCCGACAAAGCCCGAGCATTTCTCCCAGATGACAAATATCTCAGCTTAATCTCTCTCCTCGGCACCTTCAACCCGCACACAGTTGTTCCTGCATTGACGGTTCAACGTGTCCTCAGCATGATGTCCTCAATGACCTCTGAAGTTCAGCCCACCCGCCTAGAGATGAGATCCCTTCAGGCGTGGCTTCTGGTCCTATTCGGCCCACTCTTTGAATCTGCCACGTGCCTTCTTACATGCCACTCTAGAGCTTGCCTCCCAACTCTCGTGGTGGTTCTCCAAACAAAACCTGACAATGGAACGACCCTTCCAGCAGCCCCTTCCATGGATACAAGTCACTATGGACGTGAGCCTTACCCTCTGGGGATACCACTGCGGATCCCTCTAGATCCATGCCCAGTGGTCACACAGAGAAAAGGCTTCACATCAACTAATATCCGTCATAAAAGGCCTGCAGAGCCCTCAGAAACCACCTCTGCGGCAAAATGGTCCAGATAGCCACAGCCAATACAGAAGCAATGTACTGCATCCTCAAAGAAGGCAGTACTCACTCCCCAGGCCTCCTATATCTCACCATCGACCTGTGGAGGGTGGTGCCTCTCACACCACATTTGTCTCATGTCAGTCCACACAGTTGACCTAGACAACAACCTGGCAGACTTACTCAGCCGCAAAGAACACCCTCCTGTCTTCCACTAGTTTCTTACTCTCTGTCTTCTGAGGTTTACCATCGTCCCCATTTACTTCACCTCCTCACCCAAAACAGGGCTCAGATCCTCCACCCAGATCTCTGCCAATTAACCCTTCTCTCCACACTGTTCCATATTTTCTTCTACACCTTAAGTGCACAAGACTTTCTTTCTCATCATTCGAAGTATTTCTCTCTGCCATTGTGGCACGCCAGCCACCAGCCTCTCCAGCCTCTAAATTCTTCAGGCATCTTACTCTCAAGTGTTTTCTCAAAAGCCTAACTCACATGTACGCTGATACAGGCTCTCCTTCACCTCAGTGGTCATTGACACTAGTCCTTTGACACCTTATAGGGCCCCCCTTCAAGCCCCTGGCATCGACAGACCTCCGTCTCCTAATCTTTAAGACCACATTCCTCATGGCAATCACCTCTGCACAATGTGCCAGCGATCTTGCAGCCTTATGGTCCGACTACCCATCTCTCCAGTTCCGCCCTGACAAGGTTCAGTTTTTTGTAGATATTTCGTTCCTTCCCAAGGTTGTCTCCCAGTTCCACCTCTCTTAACCATTGGTTCTTCCATCCTTCTTCCCATCTCCATCCACTCCTCAAGAATGCATCCTTCATACCTTGGATGTGAGATGGGCACTAGCTTTCCATGTAGCCCTCACACAACAATTCCAGTGTTCACCTAGACTTTTTGTTAGCTACCAGACTCTGTCAAAAGGTCTCCAAGTCACCTCTCAGCATAAATCCAAGTGGGTTGCCTCTGCTATCCAACTTACCTACCAGCCTGTACGTCTTCTGGTGCCCCAGCTCCTTCACCCACATTCCACCAGGGCATTGGCGGCATCCACAGCTTTCCTACAAGGAGTTCCCCTCCATGGGATTTACGCATCTGCCACATGGTCACAGCTGTCCACGTATATTAATCACTATCGACTAGGCTTTCATCAGAAGTTTGATGCAGCTTTTGAACGTGCTATAAATTAACTTCTACCTTGGCGTGACATCCTCCTCTGGGTAAGACAGCTTGTTAGTCATCCAGAGTGTGATGCACAGAGGCCATGAAGAAGAAGAAGAAGAAGGACAGGTTACCTACTTGTGATTGTAGTTCCTTGAGTGGTCCTCTGTGACTCACACATCCCAATCCAGCACTGTCACACCCTTACTCCTAAGCAGTGGCTGACTTAACTGAAGGGAGAGCCTTGGTGTCAAGGTACATATACTGGGTGGAGGGGCCTGTACTAAGGTGTCTTTTCTGATCTAGAATATTTCGAGGAGGCTCTGCGCCTGCGTGGATCACCCAGAGTGTGAATCACAAAGGACCACTTGAAGAACTGCAATTACAGGCGGGTAACCTGTCCATTCCTACCAGCCAAGTGGGTGGGGGGGGGGGGTGGGGGAATGCATTGAGCCACATCTGCCATTTGACAGAAGAGAATGCCCAGAGCACCTTAAAACCTCAGTGCGGCCAGAAGAGGCCAATCAGCGTGTTGTGAGGCGCAAGACAGGCCTCCCCAGTGGCCATGATACAATCCAACCCAAAGTCAGAGGTGAGGGGCCTCTGAATGTGGCTCTAAGAGGTGTTTCCCTCCAGCGGGCCTCTTAATTGAACACTCTTCTCAGATCCCCGCTATGCTGCCTGTTCTGGCCACCCTTTGGCCTCTTGTTCACAGAAGAGTGAAGTTGGAAGGGGCCTATAAGGCCATCAAGTCCAACCCCCTGCATAATGCATGAATACAGATCAAAGGATATCTGCCAGGTGGTTGTTTAAGTTCCTCTTGAATGCTTCCAGTGTTGGATCACTCATCACCTCTCAAAGTAATTGGTTCCATTGCCTTACTGCTCTAACAGTTAGGACATTTTTCCTAATATTCAATCAAAATTTGTCTTCCTGTAGCTTGATCCCATTATGATGTTTCTTGGACTCTGGGATGATCAAGTAGAGATCCTGCCCCTCCTCTGAATGACAGTCTTTCAAGTATTTGAAAGGTGCTCTCATATTTCCCCTCAGTCTTCTTTTCTCAAGGCTAAACATGCCCAATTCTGGATCACAAGAAAACATGAGGTGGCATTTGTACCCATTTGCATTTTCAGCTCCTCCCTCCAGTGGTTCAGGGAACAGAGTGTGCAGAGTCTTTCTGCCTTGCCATCCATGGTCTTCTCACAGAAGGCTCGTGACGGGGAGGACGGCAAGAAAGGGCCAACCACTGCATGGGTGCTAGTCAGTCGAGGGCCTGGCTGAGCAGAGATTGCCGTCTGGGTCTCCCTATGGGCAGCCTGAATACACCCACCCAGTAGGCCAGGACCTGCTGCGGTGCACGGCTCCACACAGGCTTATGCTTGGCCCATGCCAGGAGCACCAGCTGACGGGGCCAGGATGTATGGAGGCAGAGCCCCCTCGTGAGGTCCCTGGCCAAAGGCTCCCATCCCGGTTGCCTCTGCTTGTCACCATGGGAGACCACATGCTGGACCAACCCTTCAGACAGCACTGCCTGATTTGGTCCAGATTTCCTGCTGTCTCACTGCTGTGTGGCTTCTCTTCCAGATCACTGTTCTCACTAGTCAGTGTGGCCCAGATGTGGCCAGGCAGCTGGAGACCGGGCTACAGAATGTTGACCTGGTCCATCTCCGCCAGCTGCAGGTTGTTGAGATCTCCAAGGCAAGGTTCCAGGAGCCCCCTGAAGCTGGAGGGGGAGCGGGACAACCTCTCAGCATCAGCAGTAGTAGCAGTGGTGAGTGCGGCAGCCTGGCTGAGGTGGTGACCCCTTCCCCAAAGACTGAGCCATTCCCAATGCTCCTCTGTGTGCCACGGCAGCCTCTGCCATCTCACTGTCCCTTCCTAGATGCTTACTCAGAAGCAGGTGCTCCCGCCCAGCAAAGCTTCCTCTGGAAGGGTGAGGGCTGTTCAGTGGGGCCCCAAATATTACCCATTAATTGATGGTGAGGGCCCCATCAATTGTGGGTTGTTCTTAGGTGGTGCAATCAGACTGCTTTCAACTCATGGTGAATCTATGATCCAGTGACCACAACAGGACCTGCCATGAACAGCCACGCTCAGATCTCGCAAACAGATGGCCTGGACTGAGTCACAGAATCATAGGATCCTGGAACCGTAGAAGTGGAAGGGACCGCAAGGGCCACTGAGTCTAGCCCGCTGCCAATGCAAGGAATCCATAGTTAAAGCATTCCTGACAGGTGGCCATGTAACCTCTGTTTAGAAACCTCCCATGAAGGAATGTCCACCACCAACATGGGACACCCTCATTTCTCTGTCAAACAGCTCTTCCCATCAAGAATTTCTTTCATATATTTAAGCAAAATCTCCTTACTGATAATTTGAGGAAGTCTTTCCAGGCCTTACCCTCTGAAGCTACAGAAAACAAGCTTGCTCCCAAAGTCCTTCAGATATTTGAAGATAGCTGTCATATCACCTTCCAGTTTTTTCTTCTCCAAGCTAAACATCGCAAGGTCTCTCAACCATTAGACATAAGGTTTGTTTCCAGACATTATGCAGTCCTTGTCAAACTATCCCTTTGGATATGTTCCAGCTTCTCCTTCTCCTTCTTAAACTATTGCTCAGATCTGGGTACAGGATCCCAGGTGAGGTCAGACCAAAGCAAGGTACTATTAATTCCCTGGATCTGGACATTAGGCTTCTGTGAATGCAACTGAGCTTTACATTTGCCTTTCCCCTCCTTGTGCCAGACTTGACTCATATCTAGCTTGCCGCCTAGTAAGACCCCTGGATCTTTTTCACACATGCTCCTGACAAGCCAAGCGTCACCCATCGTAGTTTTGTGCATCTGATTTTTCCTGCCCAAGTGTAGAACTTTACATTTTTCCCTGTTGAAACTCATTTTGTTTGTGCTGCTCCAGTTCTCCAATCTGTTTAGGTCACCTTGAATCCTGAGAGTGTCTTCCGAAGTATTGTCTACTCCACCCAGTTTGATGTCATCTGCATAGTTGATGAGCATCCTCTCTATGCCTTTGTCTGAGCTGTTTGTAAAGGCTTGAACTCAACATTGGGCCAGGAAAGGAACTTGATGGTATCATTCTTTTTCTCCAGGATAACAAGGAATCATTGAACCCACCTAAAAAGTAGCCCACTCACATCCAGCCCGCCTTTCGCCAACCTGGCTGCAGGAGCCTCACGAGGGACCCTTTGTTGAAAATAAGCTTTGCTGGAGTCCAAGGCTGGGCATCTCTGTCGTGTTCTCCTCACTGGTCAAGCTTGGGGCCTTAGAGCAGAGTCACAGGATTCTGTTTTAACTTCTCGAACCTTTGTGGGTTTGATGTCATGGTGGCCGGTCGCTCGCTCGCTCCCCACATCCTTTACCCCCTTTGTGAAGGGCAGGGAGGACATTTCCTCTCAATCAGGCTTCAGATCCCCCCCCCCCCCCCCCAATCAAGCCATCTCTTGTTTGGCCTTTCTCTTGTCTGACTGCTTTCTACTTTTATGGTCTTTCCCAGTGAATCTCCTATTTTCTTTATCAGTCCAAAGCAAATTACTTTCAGCTGGGAGGTCCTGAATGGCCTTGTAATTAATAATGTTCTGTCCCTCATGGAGGAGAAGAGGTTCAGTTACAGGGACTTATTTATTGCCCCATAACCACACAAAACATAAAGGAAAATGCAAGAAGGAACACTGACACACACACACACACACCCCTCCCCAAACTGGCTGCCTTTTTGCCTCTGGCAAACTAAGGGCATGGGCAGCTCCTTTGCCTGCCTACCTGCTGCTTCGATGTGCGGCCAGGATCTCTTGCCATACGGAGGGC